TATATATATATTCCAATGAAATTTAAATAATATAATTTTATTTAATTAAATATAATTACATAAATACATGAGATATAACCAAATTTTTAGTTTGAACATACATTATCATAATACCCGTGCGAACTAAACAGCACAATCTTTCTTCTCTCCCCACTTCCCCGTCTCTGTTCGGCGAGGAGGAGCCCTAGGTTGATTGTGCCCCTTTTCCTCCTTCGGAAGAACGTGCCTCGGAAGAGAGTATGGTAGAGGAAACCAAGCTGCGGCCTGCTGATTCTTTCTCCATTATCGACCCTCAATCGTCCGTCTATTAAGACTTAAGTGGTTAGTCGTCGCAGACCGACTTTTCACTGTTTTTTCTTATTTGTTTTCCCTGTCGCGCTCCCTTGCACTCGTAGTTTTCTAGGGTTCTTCGGGGAATTTGAAATGGGATCTTTTGATGGGGGTGAGGTTGCTCCGTTGGAGATCCGCATGTATTACTCGATCTGAAAGAGGGGTTTTATACTACCTAATTCTGAAATCAATGGAACTTGTGACAATGTTAGTGTTCGAAGGTTGAACAAAGTAAGTAAAGAATGGCTTTGGATTTCATGAGTAGAATCACAAATAGCATGAGCCGTTTGCAAATCAGAGATAGATATTGAAATTGATTGATATTTCACTGTAAAAAAACATGGGATAATTAATGTATTCGAATGTTATTTTGAAAAAAATAGTTACCTGGAACTTAGATTTCAAATCCTTTTGGGTCTGAAGCCAACTGGATTGATAGTTGTTGGGATTGAAGGCTTAAATATTCTCTTTTGGAAAGTTCTGCGGTAAATTTTCTTTATCTTATTTGAGGCATGTCATAAAATTCAGAATGCCATTTGCTTATTAGATGATAAGCAGGTATGTTGAGCCATTTAGATACATACCATCCAGTTCTTATGTATTTGCATATTTAACATGTAAATTTTGTTTTTTACATTTGTAACACCCAAGTCTTTAATATCACATAAATATCACCATTTGAACTTTTGAAAGTAAAATACTCCTTTTCATGCATAGGTGAGGTGGTATGTATGCATAAATTGAATTTTAGGTGTTAGATATGTAACTAATTTTTTCAAATCTAAGTTCCAGGTAACTAATTTTTTCAAAATAACATTAGAATACATTAATTATACTATGTTTTTTTTTTCTTACACTGAAATATCAACAATTTCTATTCCTATGTTTGATTTGCAGATGGCTCATGTTATTTGAGATTCTACTTTATGAAATCCAAAGCCATTCTTTACTTACTTTGTTCAACCTTCGATAAGTTCCATTGATTTCAGAATTAAGCAGTATTAAAACTCTCTTTCAGATCGATGCCACCCAAATCTTAAATATCACATAAAAAATATTACCATTTGGACTTTTAAAGAGTAAAAAGCACATTTTCATGCATATAAAAGGTGGCGTGTTTGTAAAATTCGCAATTTATGGGGTAGGTATGTGAATATGTAATAATTAAGTGTTATGTATGTAAATCTTCCATAAAAATTGCCACTACTAAAGCAGAATATATATCACAATACAAAATTCAACATTTAGCCAAAATCTCAGTACTATAACTGATAGGAAATTAAAGTCTATGATTCACTACCTGTAATAATACATGGACTTGTGCTTATTAGGACTACTACAATACCTACATCTAAGAAAAACAATAGCTAGCATGTATGACAAATCTAAGCATCAATTTTTCACTCACATAATTACAAATCATTTTTCTGGCAGGCTTGTTATAAAATGAAAGATTAATATTTAATATGTAATGTTTTAGGGAAATTTACAAACACGTCACACAATTCCAATGAATTTAGATATATAATATCTAAAGTAAAGTATGTTTTTAACATTTACAATTCTTTGGTATTATAAACTTTTGCATGAAAAAAATTGAAGTATAGGTGTTAGATATTTAACTACATAAGAATTGAATGCTATTGATCTAAATCTTCCTATGTTTGTTCAGATATATTTGTGGTAATCTTTTTCAACTTATTATGGTGCTAACGTGATAAAACTTTTAAATATTCCTTGATCTTCTTTCCTCGTCTTTGCAGGCTTTCTGTTTTGTCAATTCAGAGATCATTATAACAAAAAAAGATGAACGGAAATGGGAATGGGACATTTAATTCTCAGATTTTGGTGGATAAGTTGGCAAAACTTAATAGTTCACAGCAAAGCATAGAGAGTATCCTTTCAACTTATGCCGTATCAGGAAGTAAACACTTTTCGTTCTTCTTCTCTGGTTGATGATTTCATTGATTCCAGAAAGCTTTACTTTGTTGGTTTTGAATGCCTTAAGAATGTAAAAAATTGAAGTTTTGGTGTTGTGTATGTAAATGCTCCATTGATTTATTGTTATCCATCCTCTATACATCCATGCTATCTTATTTGGTATTTCTTCATTACCTCTTTTGAGATTTTGTGAAGGTTTTGCAACCTATGTTTCTTATATTTTCCTGTTACTTATTGGTAAAGATTTATTAAAAAATGCAATATTTTCTTCAATCTGATATATTTGTTTCCAACCGTTCTTCAAAACTGCTCAATGTGGGATGGAATTATGCATATGATGTATATTCTTTCATCTACTTCAGATTTTACAATGAATGCTTAATTTTTTTTTGGGGCATTTACATACACACCACACAATTCCTATCTATTTGCATATCTTACATCTAAACTGTAATATTTACATTCATAAAACTCAAAACTTTAACATCACATAAAAAATACCACTTCTAACCTTTTCTTAAAGTCAAATGCACCTTTTTATGCATAAGTTTATAGCATATAGCACCAAGGTGCACCAAGGTGTTATAAATGTAAATATTAAACTTTGGGTGTTAGATATGTAAATCCATAGGACTATTATGGTACGTGTGTAAATTTCCCTTTTTTAAAACAGAATTTTTGTTGCCCTAATCTTCAAGTTATTCTCTTGAATTTTGTTTCTTAATTAGTTTTTGGCATTTTGTTTTAACATTTCTAACATATATAACATTTTAGCATGGAATTCTTAACCAAATGAAAAGCTTTATCACACTGGTGCATATTCCATAGAACGAAGGCAAGACAAGTTGTGGAAATTTGGGACCGTCAATTTCACCATTCTCCACGTGAGCAGAGATTATCTTTTCTCTATCTTGCAAATGATATATTGCAGAATAGTCGGAGGAAGGGTGTAGAATTTGTTAATGAGTTTTGGAAGGTTCTTCCGGATGCACTTAATGATTTAATCGAGAAGGGGGATGATTTTGGAAGAAAAGCTGCTTTAAGACTGGTATGCTTTATATTCTAATTTTGACGTTCTTGTCAACTTCATAAATGTGAATTCTTTTGTAAATCCAGAATTTCTTGTAGAACAGCTCTTGTTATGTGCATCCATTGTAACCCTGCAAAATAACATTTCTAGAACTCGTGCATTGTTATTTATTGGCACCAATTTCTATATGCATATCTGTGTAACTATTTCTTCTTCTGATGCAAAGTTTAGGCATTTTTTTCAAAGTTACTTTAACTCAGGCATTTATTCTTTGAGTGACGATACCTCATATTGTATGAAATAAATTTGATCATTTTTATATTTTGCAAATGCGGCTTGATTAAATTATCACAAGTGATGTGCTATTTTCGTACTTTTTTATATTTTTAAAATAGATTGTATGTTGCCGTCGTTTTTTTCTGAGCATTTTTATTTTTTAAATAGATTGTAGTTGGGATAAGGATAATGATGATGATGATGTCATGAACCCTAATTTGGAATTGGGCAATCATAATGTTATCAATAAAGGGGATTGCAGCGTTCGTCCATTTCTAGGTTGGGCCATTTACGTACATACCACCAAATTCACGTCTTTTCATATCTAACACCTAGACCTTAATTTTTTACGTTCATACCACCCAAATCTTTCATATCACATAAAAAATACCACCATTTTAACTCTTATAAAGTGAAATACACCTTTTCATGCATACACCTTTTCATGCATTCATGCATCGGTAAGGTGGTATGTATGGAAAAATTGAAGTTTTGGTATTAGATATGTTAATACATAGGAATTGAGTGGGGGTATGTATGCAATTATTTTTTTTTTAGATTTTAGTAGATTTTCATTTCCCTTGTACCCCTTATAGAGAAATCGTTTCTTAGTAATGGCTGATGAACAAAAAGATATGGTATTTAGTCAACAATGTGTAATTTATTTTTCGCACTCCAAACAAGTGCACTAGTTGTTCATTTGATGATAAATGTTGAATTTTTGTTTTTTGGTGACAATGTAAGGTGAATTTTCATGATTTTCTATGATTTGGAGAGATTAATTATGAATCTCTTAGTTTAGCATTTTAAGGATGTTGTGTATTGAGAAATGTGTGGGCGACAACTATTTTAAAAACTTAAAAATAGAGAATGACACCATCGAGAAGTCCTGGTTCAACAATTTATAGAATTTGATAGCGGTCCATCTTGGCTATGATATTGGAAAATTATTTGCCCAAGGGGTTTGAGTGGACCGCGAATAATTAATGGCCAATGCTTAGAAATTCAAAAGTACTTCATCCATTTTTAAGAAATGGTGCTAGTTGCTGATTTATTTTATGGGCATTTACATACATAGCGCACAATTCTGATGTATTTAAATATACAAAACCCAAACTTTAATTTTTACATATATACCACCCAATTCTTTTCCTATCACATAAAAATACCACTATTTTAACTTTAAAAAAGTGAAATACACCTTTTCATGCATCGATAAGGTGGCATATATGGAAGAATTGAATTTTAGATGTTAGATACATAATGCTTTTAGGTGGCATATATGTATCGATAAGGTGGCATGTATGCATTACTTTTTCATGAATTGAATATTGCAAAAGTGAAATACATAAAAACGAAGTGGCATTCATGAGATGCAGGAATAACTGAATTTTAACAACAAGACATGAGTGTTATCTCTGAAATATGAAGGGAATTGAATGGTGTCCCTTTTCTACTTGAAACCCAGATAGGCTTATGAACCTACTATGTGGGCGATTTTGCAAAGTTTCTCTTTTCTTTCCCTCTTGCAATATTCTGTTTGTTAGAAAAGCATTATGTATTTAGAAAAGCATTATTTAATTGGTATTTTTAACTGCAGTAGATGGTTGATGCAATAATTATGCTCAAATCATGTGTATTTTTCTAGGAGTTATGGAATTTCTAGCTATTTCAAAAATGTAAATTATCCACCTTTTTGTTTTATTAAGCCACACTATATTCATTTATTTTTTGGGGGGAGGCACTTACATGGTATACCACACAATTCTTATTTGTTTACATATCTGTATAGCACTCAAATCTTTAATATCACATCAAAAGTACCATTATTACCTACTTTTAAAAGTTAATTACACTTTTTCATGTATAAGTTTATCACATGAAAAGGCCATTGTAAAAGTTTAAATGTCAGATATGTAAATATATAAGAATTATGTGGTATGTAAATTATATTTCTCGCTTTCTTTGGCTGGACCAATAAGTAGATACATTTTATTGATGCTTCAATGCTTCAATGTTTATTTTTCGCTATGTTAGAGGATTTTTTACTCAATAAATGCTTTTACTGTAGAATCGTTGTCAGTATTGTGACTTCATGTTTTTCACTCTGTTGGTAAGCTTTCTTTCATTTTCTCTCTTTTTAGGCGACCATTATCCGTGATCCTGATTTAATTTTGGAAGATTTACATACATTTCACTCAATTCCTATGTATTTACATATCTAACACCTAAACATCAATTTTTACATACCACATTACCTATCAATGATAATGATCACTTTTTAAAAGTAGAAATGGTTGTATTTCTTATGTGATCTGAAAGATATAGGTGCTATGAATGTAAAAAGTAAAGTTTAGGTGTTAATTATGTAAATGCATAGGATTTTCATGGTATGTATGTAAATGCCCCTTTAATTTTTACTTGCCATTTTTTTCTCTAACGATACGTTGGTCATTTGCTTACATCAGGTTGACATATGGGAAGATAGGAAAGTCTTTGGTTCTCGTGGCCGTGTTTTGAAAGAAGAAATCTTAGGTAGAAATTCAGAAAACATAAAGTCGAGTGAGAGAAATACAAATTACAAGTTGGTAAGAATCTTCTTACCATTTTAGTCTTCTAATACATATATTCATGTGGCATGTGAGCTGGTACTTAAAGCTATGTTCATACTTTTTTTTATTTTTTATTTTCTTGTTTCCTTTCGAGAATTGCAGAAATATCCTGGTGGAGAATTGCTTCAGAAGATCATCTCTGGTTATGAGCTTATTCATAATGAAAATATAGATGAAGATGCCTTGTTTGGAAGATGTAGTACAGCTGTTAGTTCTCTGGAGAAAATGGACCAGGAGATTGGAAAAGATGTCAGTCTTGGTAATTTCATATTGCTTTTTTAATTGAAGGGATATTTACATGCATAACACCCAATTCCTATGTATTTGCATTTCTAACACTTAAAATTGAATTTTTACATACATACCACTTTACCTATGCATTACTTTTTAAAAGTTAAAATGGTGATGTTTTTTATGTGATGAAATTTGGATGGTATAAATGTAGAAAATCAATGTTTAGGTGTTAGATATGTGAATACATAGGAATTGGGTGGTATGTATGTAAATACCCCTTCATTAAAATTTCTTGCTAGTATTCTTGTAGCTTTATTTCTATTTAAATGCAATCGATAAAATATAAAGGAAATTTTCTTATTAAGTTGCAAGGCTCACCCAAGTTTTCTTATTAAGTTGCAAGGCATACCCAAGTTTTCTTATTAAGTTGCAAAGCACATCCATGTTATTGTTTTCTTATTTATAATGGTTCAGTCTTTGTATGTTTTTTCCTAGTTGAACGATGTTGGAAATGCCGTATATGATATCATAGCACATGAAGATCCACAAGTTTAGGCAAAAACTTTTATTATTATTATTTTGCTGCGATTCTTTTTATCTTTCATCATGGAAATGAGTCTTTATTTGGATAACGATTGCCTTTCATTATCAGGTTAGCTTCCTTTTCTCTCTATCCTTCTATTTTTTAAATCCTTTATTTTTTTGTTTTCTGCTCAACCTTCTTCCTTTAGTTAGTTTGACTTCAATCCTTCTCACTTGTGCCAACTGCCTTTCTTAAGTAGTTTCGTATAGGATTTAAGATTTAAGGTATCAAGATCAATGAATTGGATTTCTAGGAGTGTAATTTACAAGCATTGTAGGAATTAGAGATTTAGAATATCATTATTTTAATCATTTCATCATATTGTTGATCACCTTCTCTCGCCCTTTCTTTATCTGTTCTCATGTCTCTCTCTTAGCTTTTTCATAGGTGGAGATATATGATGTATCTGTTGACGTGCAACTGTTTAAGAGGGCTAGAAAATGATTCCTACCCTATGATTACTATCACATAATTTTGTTAGGCTAGTATTCCTTCCAAAGTAACAAACTTAAAGCCTTGAGCATATTCTCTTTTTAACAGTATATATCCATTCTCTTTTGTGACTACATTTGCATGAAATACCATTACGTATGAAAATGAAGAGTTTTAAGTAGGTTTTTTATGGCTATTATCCTCAATTGTTCAAAACAATATGAGGGAAGAAGTTGTCATGCGGCTTGTGGCTTTTTTTAATATTTAAAGGTTTGTGTGGCCATTAAAAAATTGTCGTAGTGGAGGAAATTAAGCCATGTTAGAACATGTATTGTTTGTACCACTCCCTTCCAGTGTTTGAAGGGGTTCTTTTAGTTTTAAACCAAGAGATGAAAAGTGAGCTTATGGAGGAATTAATGTTGTTTTAGTTCCTTTCTTCGTCGGCATTGGAAAGGCACATTAATAAGTAATGTGAATTATTCATCTTGTATGAAAAGTATTTTAGGAACTTTTTTTCTTTGACAGGAAGCAAACATATTTAAAAACTTTCAAAATCTAGAAAATTTATGATTAAGTCAATTCTAGATATTAAGAAAATTTGATATAAAGCTTTAAAACATCTTACCTTCGTATGTATTTTCTTAGATCATTCTTAAATAACACATCAAATCCCGTTAAAATAATTCATATTTTGACCAAGAAAATGATCTATAAATATCTTGAAGCCCTCCAAAATTTCCTTTTAACTTTTGGACTTAATTTCTCTTGGGTTTAGAAAAAGAAATTCATGTTTTTCCTTGATTTTCTTCTTTGAGTTTATGTTCCTTGTTAGGTTGGTCAACGACAACAAACCTTTGTTTTAATTTTGTTCGAATCTTGATCCTTTTGATATTCTTGCAATTTGATATACTCGATCATCTTAAGTTGTCCGTTGATAGTTTTGGTTTTTAGAACAACAAATTTTTGACTTGTGATGTTCCCTAATCTTCCTTTTAATACTAAAAAGAAGGTGAAAATAAGAGCTTAAACTCCAAAAGAAACCAACTTACTTGTTTGGTATGGGTTAAATTAGCTAAAAAAAAATTCATTTTGAGTAGAAAGGCTAACAATAACTTAACATCTATTGATCAAGAACCTTGATCTTTCATGGCTTGATGTGCTAATCATAACTGTTTATCTTAAATGAAGATCTTATAATAGTCATTTTACTTTCTAAATTCCTTTGACTTATACTTGTTTTATTGAAATAATGTCCCCTATGTTATTTGTTTTCTTCTTTGACTTGATACTAAGCTAAGCTGTCAAAATCGAGATAGGGGGATGCATAGGTTGCCTTAGGTTATTTAACCATGACCAGTCCATTTTTTTTGGTCTGAGCTGATCTCTTGCACTTTAATCTATCTAATTTTATTGATTTTTCTAATCTTTTAATCATGCACTTCTTGTCTCACAACCTGATTCTTTGTTTCCTCTATATTTTATATTTTCTTCTTGGAACTAATTCAGAATATCTTTGACCTCCACTTAAGAGATCAAAGGCAATACGACTATCTTATTTGTTGGTGGTATCTTAGAAAAATATCCCCCATCCTTCATTGATTTTCTTCTTTTGCTTGAAGCTAAATTCCTCCTCGACATTATTAACCATATCCTAATTATTTAAATATTTTCGTAGAACATCATATCTTATTGATAGAAGAGGGGAATTTAAGAAATAGAAACAGAATAAAGGGGAATATGAAAGAAATAAAAACAGAATAAAGAGAAATAGGAAAACAAACAACAACAAATAAATGAAAAGCTACATATTAATAACGGTTGGGAATAACCATTATTATTTTAATACATAGGTGTTAGTCATGTTTAACTTGGATTTGATTTCATCAAACAGTGTCCGAGAAAGGTTCTTTGTGAGTATATTCACTAGTTGATCACTGGAGGGCACAGAAGGAATACAAATCTTTCGGACTCAAGTTTTTCCTTGATGAAGTCAATCTCCATATGTTTGATACAATCATGTTGGACCGTCTTTTTGGCAATTTTAATGGTGGTTTTGTTATCATTAAATAACTGCAGGAGGCCAGAGGTCGGTATGCAGAGTTCGTGGAGTATGATGCATAACCAGAGAGCTTCACAAATCTCCAAGGACATGGATCAGAATTCAGCCTTAACACTGCTCTGGGCAACCACCGAATGTTTTTTGCTTTTCCATGTGACAAGATTTCTCTACCAAAATAAACAGTACCTGGAGGTAGATTGTCGATCATGGACTGATCCAACCTAATCAACATCTGTATAAACAACAATAGAACGAGAGACGTGACGCAAGAAAAATAAACCTAAGCCTGGTTTGCCTTTTAAATAGTGGAGAATCCGATGGACGTGGGGATGGTGTTTATAGGGGTCATTCATGAATTGACTTACTATACCAATCGCATGACATATATCGGAGCATATATGGACGTGGAGATGGTGCTTATAGGGGTCATTCATGAATTGACTTGCTATAAAAATCGCATGGCATATATCGTGGGATATATGAGCGAGGTAGATGAGTTTCCCCACAAGACACTTGTATATGAGCGAGGTAGGTGAGTCTTATTAACAAGACTTCATTTGGAAAATCAGATAATTTTTCATTATGATCCATTTAAGCAGATTGTTCTCTGTTAGCAGGTCAATCACATATTTGTGCTAAGACAGACAAATGCCCCGAGATGATCGAAAAACTTCCATGCTTAAGAAGTATCGAAGGTATTCTAATTTCTTGATTTCAAAGAACGTAGCTAGAATACCTTTCAATCACTTGAATGCTGATAAATAATTTTCTGTGAGCACAATATCGTCAACACAAAGGATAATAATAGCAATCTGGCCATTAAATGAATGTCGCTAGAAGGGTGTGATCTGATTGAGCCTAAGTAAAACCATGACCCACCATCACCTTTGTAAATTTGTCAAACCAGACTCTTGGGGTTCGCTTTAGTCCATAGAGAGATTTTCACAGCTGTCATACTTGCTCTAGGAAGGCAATAGAGTCATAGTCAAGGGGAAGAGACATATACATCTCCTTTATAAGATCTCCTTTCAGGAATGCATTCTTGGCCTCGAGCTGGCATAAGGGCTAATCTAAATTCAACGGAAGAGATAACAAGATCCAAATGGTGTTTAATTTGGTCATCAGAATAAATGTCTTCGCATAGTTAACTCCGTAGGTCTATGAGTATCATTTGGCGACCAACCGTGCCTTGTTGCGTTCAAAGAAGCCATATGAGTTGAACTTGATGCTAAAAATTTGCCGGCATCCCACTGTTTTCTTACCCTAAGGAATATCTATGACATCTCATGCATTGTTCCGCTGAAGGACATTCATCTTCTCCATTAATGCAACTTTCCAAGCCGAATATGCTAGTGCAACCTAAATAGTAGCTGAGATCTGATGATCTATCAGGGCAGTAATAAATGCTTTGTAGGTTGACAATAAACTACAGAAAGTGTCGTATTGTGTCATGGAATAGAGATAGCATATTCGATGTGTACCATGGGGAACTCACCTCATTTGGAGTAGTAGTGTCGGGGATTGCTAGGAGTGTATTTAAGATCCTGTAAGGAGGTAGCGGCCTCCAGAGGAGGGGCATAGGGATGAGTTTGCCGAGTGTAGACACAGAGAGTAGGAGGAGGATATGGTGGAACAACAGGAACTGGATATTCCTGGGTGTTAGGAACAATGAGGGGAACATCCGTAGGAGTATGATAAGGAATAGTGTCCATTAACTCTATCTCCCCCTCACTTAAGACCGAGTTAGGAAAATAGAGAATACTTTCAAAAAAGGAGACATCAATACTAACATAGATTGTGATAAAATCAAGACACTAATACCTTTTTTGAGTGACGGAGTATCGTTGGAGGATACATTTTATGGATCTGAGATCAAGTTTGTTCCGACTTGGATCAGTGTTCTGAATAAAGCTCGTGCTCCCAAAAATTTTGGGATCTAAAGTGGAGCAGA